TAGTAAAAGTATCAAAAAAAAAAAAAAAAAAAAAATGATTTCGACCATTTCGACCATTTCGGATATCCGAAATGATCTATTTCGACTTCATGTATATACAGCACCAGTTGGACATAATGCATAACTTGTGGTGACCAATGCTGATGCTGGTGCTTTAGTGATTCCTAAGCATACAATTTTCAATAAAGATTAGACGCCAGCAGGAGGTAAGCTAACATTTAAAGTTGTGTGTGAACCAAATGCAAATTTGACAAATAGAACAGTTGTATTAGCCAACATCACCCTTAGGCAATTAATTGATTACTTTAAAGGAAATTATCCCACAGTTAAATAACAGTATAATTAAGTATTATTTGGTATAACAGTGCAAGAAAGAGATTTTGTGGATTCTTATTATACCAAACTCAAGAGGATTACAAGATATGCTAATATGAAAGATGATGAATTTGTTGTAGATTTCTTGAGAAACTTTCTCCAGAAAATCAAATGAAAGCTTGCTGTATAGGACTTAATAAATCTATTGATGAAATCTTTTTATCTTTAGAAGAGATTGAGAGATATAAAACTGAATTACTCGCTGATGCTAATCCCCTTTTGTAATTTTAGCAATACAGGTGCGCTCTTAGAATATTCAGAAGCCTTTAGAAAAAAAGGAGTTAGAGTTTTTATATGTGCTTGCAGAACGTTTAGGTACATCTCTAAGTTTGCTTGAAACATATAATAGTTTAGTTCAAAATAGTTATATTAATGAGGAATTAGAAAGAAGGTTAGGAACCAATAATGCCTTTCATGTTAAGGCTAAGCTTTTCAAAAATTCACCTTTTTTAGATCCTCAAATTTTTGCTGTCAAGAAATCATTTTAGCGTAAAAGTGATCATAAATTTACCCGCAAATCTTCTAAAACAAAGCAAAAGAAATCAAAAAATAAGTCTAAGAAGAAAAAATCTAAAAGTGGCTGAATCCATTTAGCTAGAGTAGGTGACTAATCAGATTTGGATTCTTCTGATAACAATACTTTTTCATCAGAGTCTAAGAATAGCTCTACTAGCTCTAAGAGTTCTTCTTCTGAATCAGATTCTGAGGCTGAGGCTGATGCTGAAATTAATGTTAATATATCTTGGATAAAAAAAAAAGTGAAGAAAGAGCATAACACTATTACTTCCTCAAAAAAGAAAAAATTAAAGACTCATAAGTCTCATAAGGTAAAAGATACAAAAATACCTCTTTTTGCATCGGTTCTTATTTCCAAAAAGGAAAAGCATAGTTTAAAGACCTTGATACAGGATGAACAATCCCACTTAGAAAAATTTATTGAAATAATTATTGAGAAGATGCTTAATGAAAAGTTTGATACTATTATAACCCTTCATCATCTGCAAAATAGTGATTCTAAAATACCGGCTAATTCTGAGGATGATGAGTTTATCGATTGTTCTATGGAGATAAACTTTATCTAAAAAAAGAAACCACCATAGATGAGAATGATAAAGATGAGATCGAGAATGAGATTAATGGTGAAATATATGAGAACAAGAAAGTGGAGATCTTC